GTGTACATTTCAATTTCTGTGCAAACATGTATGTTTGTGTAACAAAATATGTGAACAGAGTACGTATGTGAGAAAACGACAACAAAGGAGCTTGCTAGAAGTCTTTTATAGAAGGGTTTTGTACTCACATGGTAGAAATTACTAATCACAGCTGAGACATTCCATCTCTTATTAGTCATTTCCTTATTACTGGGAACAAATCAGCTGCTGAGAATAAAACCATTGACTCCTTTTTCTACCCAAAGGATCCCATGTGAGTCTCGGAGAAGCTGAGCTGCGTTTAAAGACATTAAAAGTGATCTGATAACATAAAGGGGATTGAGCTGATTCCACACAACCACAGCCCTTCGTCCCACGGTGCACACCTACTGTAGATGTTATTGCCAGTGAATCTCAAGCAGTGGTGAGTGTTCTTTAATTGGAGTCATAAATCAGAGGACCAGACTCACAAAACAAAAGACAACTGGAGAAAAGAGAGATAAACTCCCCATATTGAATGTAGATGATGCTCTCAGCCCCGCTGGACATTCAGTGGCCTCGCTAAAAGGCAGCAGCCACAATCACAAGCGCCTCTCTTCATAATGGTGCGTGGATGACCTCCTTACTGAGTCCTCAGCACATCCTGCAGTTTTGCCCCTGATTCAAACAGAAATGAAGGTTTGTGTCTTCTCACAAGTAGGTGTCACCATGGAAACAACCGTTATTCGGCGCTCTCAACAATAGCCGGTGAATGAATGGAACTGTCTGATGGAATTAAACAGTATGTTTGGGTCCTTCTTTTCATGCAAAGTACGCACCGCATCAGCAAACTGCACAATGCAAATGTGCACACGACAACAGCCCCTGCGTTTCAAGGCTGCTTTCTTAGTTTGTTTTCTCTGGAGTTGTTTGCGCTGAGGAATTGTTTTGAGAGCTAAGCCCCGAAACAAGTTGAGAAAAAAAACACACTAGACAGCAAAATGGCATGTTTAAGTACGTCTGTATTTTGTTGTAAAATGATTTGTGATTACAACAGCAATTTTCACCGACAGTTTCTGTTAAACAAGATTTATTTCCCCAACTGCAGCACAGAAATCATGAACTACAAGAGAAGATTTTTGTGTAAATGCAGGCGCTAACATCAACATATCATAAAATCCGAAGCACTAACTGCACGGCACAGCTTAACAATAAAGTAAGCAATAAATACTATTGTTCTCCATGAAGAAATAAAATAAAGCTATGGAGCTTGGGCTCTTGTCTTACCCAAACAGCCTGCAGATGCAACTGCTTCATAAAGTGGCCATAGACTGAAAACATTGGTTAACAAAGAACGAGCCAAAAATGGATTTAAAAAAAAAAGGCTGGGATTATGTGTGTGTTTGTGCTTTTTAAATCAAATATGGTGTAAAATACAGTCGGCAGACTATCAATTTAAAATTCCCAACTCACAGTTATTGAACCGTCTGAACTCCTGATGACCTGAAGCAAAGCAGGATGATCTTACACAGTAAAAGAGAAAAGAGTGCGTTGCCATGTAAGACATTAAACTGTTTGCAAAGAAAAATCTGAATTATTGGTTGAAAGCTGCACTTTGTGGTTTATTTAGTTCAAAATAAAGCGCTGCAAATGGGTTCAACAAAAAGTACCGTGTTTATCGGACTATAAGGCGCACTTAAAATCCTTTAATTTTCTCAAAAATTGACAGCGAGCTTATAATCCAGTGTGCCTTATGTGTTAATTCTGGTTGTGCTTACTGACCTCTAACTGATTTTATGTCGTTATTATGAATGAGTTGAATAAAGGTTGACTTATGTTTTGTTTTGCTTAATGCACCTTATAATCTGGTGCGCCTTATCTATGAAAGCAGACCTGTTCATTGATGTTGCGCCTTATAATCCGGTGCGCAATACGGTACAGTTTACTATCAGACACGTTTTCTGAAGTGCATTTTTGTCCATCTAATAATTCTGTAAAATTGGCAAAATTTTGCACAGTTTTATTTTTATTTGTTTGTTTGTTTATTACAAATTATGGATTTATAATGCATTAAAACAGATTATTTATCAAAGAAAATATTTTTTTCTCACTAAACCATTATAACATGTTTACTCTGCATTTCCACAGTGCACTGAGCTCACATAAAACTCAGCACCAGTTCAAACTCTCCAAGGTTATGTGCATCTTAGTAACTGGATATGGCTCTAAATCTACGCCTGCTGAATCAATAGGCCCTCCTCTTGTGAGCCACAGAAGCACAGGAATGTTCGATATTTGATTCTTAACGGAGCTCAGACAGCAGAGGTAGCTGTGTTTTGGTGCATTCACGTGAAGTCAATAGTTTGTGTCTAAGAAGGGCTGGTGAGGGTACAGAGGACAAAGCCACGCCAGATAAATGTTTGCAGCTGGAGGGGATGTTTTTGAGTCAGTGTAGCTGTTAAAGCTGCAGATATTTGTGTGGAGAGACCAGAATACAACAAAAACACCAATGAAAGGGGAACAGTTCAGTTAGAAAACAGATGCATTAAATACTTTCTTTTTTTTTTTTTTACTCACCAAGTCGTGTGAACGAAAATACTGAAAGGAGCATTTACCAAAAATGTACATTTAGATTTTTAACTTCATCATTAACGCTGTGGAAATCTGTTAAAACAAATGAGAAAATCCAAATCAAAGTCAGTTTGAAAAAAAAAAAAAAGTTCAATTAATAACTTTTTTTTTTAAAAATGGTGATTTAAAAACTAAAACAAAAAATAGATGTTTGTTTTCACTCCTATAAATTAGTAATTTTTAGCTTTGCTTGTTGATGCAAGCACAATGATGTTGTGTTGATGTAAAGGAATGAGAACATGTTTGAAAAGGAAAAAATGCACTTTTTAAAAACTGTGCAGGAAAATGTGTTAATTCAGATTTTCTTTTCATGGTGTGTCTTGAAAAGGCGCAGCACGGTGGCTCAGTTAGTACAGCTATTGCCACTCAGCGAGAAAGTCACCAGTTTAAATCCTGGCCTGGGAGCTTTCTGCGTGGAGTTTGCATGTTCTCTCCGTGCTGGGTGGGTTTTCTCTGTGTACTCTGGTTTCCTCCCACAGACTAAAAACATGCATGTTAGACTGACTGGTAACTCTAAATTGTTCCTAGGTGAGAGAGAGAGTGAATGGTTGTTTGTCTCGTTTGTCTCTATGTGTCCCTGTGATGGACTGGAGACCTGTCTAGGTGTCCCCTGCCTCTTGCACAGTGATAGCTGGACATGGACACCAGTAACTCCCATGACCCGACAAGAAAGAAGATGATGGATGGATGGAATGGATGGATGGATCTTGAAAAGGCAATTATCTAAAACTATAACACACAATCTTTCTCTTCTGATCAACTTAGATGTTGATCTTCACACAATACGTTAAAAGCAGCACGTTCATCTCCTGCTGTTTGACAAATACTGATAACATTATTAACTGTAGCAATATTGTTCCTTAGGAAATACTGAGGAACAAACATAATAATTTCTGACTAACATTACTGGCTGCAGTCTAAACACTATCGGGATCATTCCACTAAACCCTTGCCGAGTAAATATTACAACTGAAAGTCGTAACTTTTAAAATATAATTAGGACTGTGAAGCTCAGCAGGAGAACACAATAAAGGATCTCCATTTATTCACCTGTAAACTCACGTCCTTCTGCCAAGAGATAATTGGAAATTGAATTAATGGATGAAAAGAGCAATTTGCTCTGGAGAAACACTCACACCAAACTAATTTGGTAATAATTTCCAAGAATTTATTATTCCAATGCAAGTGAAATCAATACCAACACCTGTGTTACAGCAATAACCGTGGTCAGCTTTGTGCTTTTCTTTGATTTAAACCTGTTGAATTACATTGCATAAAAAAAGCAGCAACAAGTCACATTTTGTTCATTTGCAAAATGAAAACAGCAGCTGCCACCTGCGTAACGGTAAAAACAGATGTAATTAACGTTGATCAGTCCAGAGAGAAATAACCTGCCATGAAATATGATTTTCACACTAAAGCCACTTGACAAAAGACCAGAAACTAGGAGCAAATGTTGCTTGTGAGAGAAAACATCACTGCAGTTTGGCTGAAATACTGCTGGAACTATTCAGCTCCTGTTTTTAGGTGAAGAGCACACGAAAAGCCAAAGCTGAAGTTTTCGTCGTGTAATTTTACAAATGTTCGAGGTGAGAAGCGACTTGTTGAAGCTACACACAAAAATAATGATGTTTATTTATTGTTTTATACGCTTTGGGGCATTAAGTGGTCAGATTCTGCAGGCTTTCCTTTTCAAACTGTATGGACTTAATTTAACTGGGCATTAATTGAACTTGTTCACAATTAGACTGAATTACCTTCTAATCACCATCAGCAATGTCTGTTGAGTTTTGCTTTGAGGTATGTGCCATTCGTAGTTGCTGCAGGACATGATTTTGATTTATTGTCAATGGTAGATGCACGTTAGAGCAAAGCCTAGATTCATAGCCAAATATGACACCAAGAAATACTCTTAAATAAGAAAATAAGATATTTACAGTGTTTCTTAATGTCAGGCAGATGGATTAAGATGTTCGATCTATGCATTTTGAAAAATGTGTAATTTGAAATAAGGCCAATCCTTTAACCAGACACGGGAAAGTTTGAAAAAAAAAAGCAGCATTTTATACAATTCATTCAACTTGATTAAGTTCATCAATTCAGTACTGATTGCACTTCATATAAAAATGATCTAAACATATGATTGGAGGAAAGGAGCACATTAAACTAACGTGAGGTGCTGCAGTCTATGAGCCATAAAAAATATCCAAGAAGAACATCATCACTCAGTTAATTGCCCGCATGCATAAAAGTTAGAGAGCTAAAACTAAATCCTTCAGAACGTATGGTGCCAAAACTGCAGATGGTCGGTAAGCACAGTCAGATAGAAGTGCCCGAGCCACGTCAAGCACAGGAATATGTTACCCACAATCTCTGCAGATCTATCTATGTGTAAACATTTTGCCGAGTGAAAAATAATAAGATAATTAAACACATTTAGAAAGACTTTCTCTTGAGTTCTTTTTCAAAGTCGTCAGGCATGCATCTTCTTCCCCCGTTGGTCTGCCAGACTGGTGCTGCGCTCAAAAGTTCTTTACAGGAACTGAGAATGCAGTTATTCTGTTGGGGTGGTGGCCACTGGGCTCAGGATGGGGCTAAGTAATTCCCTCATTGGACTCAGTGGGGGTATGGCCTTATGGCTAAAATACTCAACTACTTGACCAGGTACTTCTGCTAGAACACACTTGGCCAGGGCTGCAGGTGAAGCCTGTTGCAGAGAAGAGAGAACAATTGGAGATGTTTAAACAACAGAGAGACATGGATCAGTCGAAGGCACGGAGCATATTTAGGCAGTATTTAGAGGATTTTCTTTGATAAAGACTAAATAAAAGATGTATGTGTCAAATAATATTAGACTATAACTGCTGAGTGCATAACTCAGGTGCTAACATAAAATTGCGAAAATTGTGTGTGTGTGTGTGTGTGTGTGGGGGGGGGGGGGGGGGGGTAGAAATATATTTAAAATTAAAAATGCTTATAACACATTTTTTACAGAATTATGATGGTAAAAAAATGGTAGCTATAATAAAAAATAAAGCAATGCTTGTGTGTCTTATAATCATGTTTAATGAGCTTGCTGGCAACGCTTGTTTACTTCAACCAGAAAGGACACAAGTCTCTGCCACTTTTATTTTGTTGCAAAATAACTGTAAAATGTTTTTGATTTATTGGTTTATGCATCTCCACGACAGAGCCCACCATCTTTTGTCCCTTCCAGACGTTTTTTTTTTTTTTTTGCAACAGCCTGAAAGGATCAGAAGATTTCCTGCTGCACCTCAGAGACGAGACTTTAACGTAAAATCTCAGCTTTAAAAAAAAACTCTTTGGTCTGACTGGGATTTCCAACAGTTGGTAAAAACATTTAAAAACGGTTGTTTTCTGTGCACTCATAAGGGATGTTCACGTGCATTTACAACCATCCACATCTGGAATTACACTTTGTAAATGTTTCCACTCACATACCCCATGTTTGATTTTCATGCCTTGAACAAAATTTATTGACTAATTTAAAAACATTTTTACACACAATCTTGTTTTCGCTACAAACCAGAGCCAGGCTGGTAAAACACAAAAAAATAAGTTTGAAAATCGTCCCACAATGTTCATCCAAGACACTAAGACTGTTGTTTTTCTGGTCAATGTTTGTCTCGTTTGTCTCTGTGTCTCCCTGTGATGGACTTGAGACCTGTCCAGGTGTCTCTGCGATGGACTGGAGACCTGTCCAGGGTGTCCCCCGCCTCTCACACAGTTATGGCTGGACATGAGCACCAGTGACCCCCGTGACCCGAAAACAAAGAAGTGGGTAAAGATAATGGATGGATGGATGGATGGATGGATGGATGGATGGATGG